GGCGTGGTGGTGGCGTAGACTCGGAAGTGCGCGTCCTTCTCCGTGGACAGCAGCTCCAGCCGGTACAGCCCCGAGGGGCGCCGGCCGACACGAAGGACTCCACGTCGTTGCCTTGGTAGGACAGCAGCTCGGCGCCCGCCTCGTGCGTGGCCTGCGGCCTCTGCTGCTCCAGCGGCTCCGGCTCCTGCTCGCCTGGAAGACAGAGAAGAGGCGACTGTCAGGCCCCAGTTGCGTGGCCGCCTGCAAACCTTCGGGCTCAAGACCCGCTGCGTTCCCCACCGTCATAGCAATGCCTGTTGCCGGCAGAGAACTGGGAAACACGGAACAAGATTTAAAAAGCCATCCCAGTCGCCCTGGCTGGTTTGGTTCCGTGGACAGAGCGCCGACCTATGAACCAGGAGGTCACAGTTCGATTCCCGGTCAGGGCACATGCCTGGGTTACACACTCCATCCCCAGAAGGGGGCGTGCAAGAGGCAGCCAATCCATGATTCTCTCTCATCATGGATGTTTCTATCTCTCTCTCTTTCCCTTCCTTTCTGAAATCAATACAAATATATTTTTAAAAAATCCTATACAGTAAAAACCTAATATACTAAGTGTCTGGTCGTCTGGTCTGCTGTTCAACCAATCAAAGTGTAATATGCTAATGACATGCTAAGGCCGCTCAACCACTCACTATGACTTGCACTGACCACCAGGGGGCAGAGGCTTCCACAGGTAGGTTAGCTTGCTGCTGGGGTCCAGCCGATTGGGACTAAGCAAGAGAGACTGGACATGCCCTGGAGCCCTCCCACGGTTCCTCCCCGGCTGGCCAACCTCCCATGTCCCTCCCTGGCCATGATCGTGCACCAGTGGAGTCCCTCGGTCTGGCCTGTGCTCTCTCGCAATCCAGGACCCCTCGGGGGATGTTGGAGAGCCGGTTTTGGCCGATCCCGCAAGCCAGGACAAGGGACCGCAGTGGTGCACGAATTCGTGCACCAGGCCTCTAGTAAAAAATAAAAAGTCATCTGGTCAGGGCTCCTGGGCAGCCCTTTATGAAGATTTTGGGTTACTCCCTTCCAGTCTTTGCTTTTTAACCTATTTTTCACCCTCATTTTTCTTTGTCACCGAGTCACACTCTTCTTCATGCACGCATGTCTCTAGACAAACCTCCATTTTTGAATCCTGTTTTCCTCACTGAAGACTACAGCGTGAGAATAAGACTGCGGTTAATTTCTGTTCTGATCGTCGTAAATAGTGCTGTGAGGTGTGTGTGAGCTGCTGTGGCTTTAAATTCTTTCTCAGGACAGACTCTGAGGAGTGGAATTTGTAGGTCACAGACCACAGCCCTCTGAGCGAAAGCCCCTCCACCACCTGCATATGGACAGGACCATCCCTTCAGCCGCATCCACGGCCAGCCCCTCGCTAATCTCCCTCTGCCTGCGCCGGGCGATCTCCCTAAAGCACAGAGTGGGACGCATGTGAGAGC